TCGCAGAAGTCCCCCATACACGGGTCTGCGTCGGCCTCTTCGTAGGGGCCCGATTCGTTGTGCAACCATCACAACTTCATCAGCTCGCCCCGACGTGTGCTCGGTTGACGCCACAACTGCGGTGGGGTGCGGCGACGCAAGCTTCTTCGGCCGAGGTTGGTGTTCTGCCGATCCGTGCAAGCTGCTATGGCGTCCCGTGGTTGCGCCCGGGTGCTGCCACCACCCCACTGTGGCACACCCCTCACACGCTCCGTGGCCCCATAAGGAGCCCCACCTGAAGCCCCAATGGTGGCGCCTGCATGCCGCCAGCGCCTCACTCCGGCACACCCCATCACACGTTTCGTGGCCCCACAGGGAGCTGCACCCAAGGCCCCAGTGGTTGCACCTGCATGCTGCCACCACCCCACTTTTTCGCAACCATTCCACGTTTCGTGGCCCTTACATGGAATTCCATGTTAGGCCCCAGCGAATGCGCGCCCGCATGCCGCCAACACCCCACTTTGGCGCACCCCTTACACGTTTCGTGGCCCCATTCGGCGGCGGACCCGGGGGGGAGTGGGCAAAGGCGGGCCTTCTCAGAAATCTCCGAAGTCCCCCGGCCTTCTGAGAAGTTGTCTATGACTTCCCGCAAGACAGGGGAACCTTCTCGAAAAGCCCGAGGGCTTCTGGGCAGGCCCGCCGCCTTCTGGAAAGGTCTTCTCTTTCTCGCTTCTCCCTATCTTCGCCCATGGGGAGCTCCACCCGAGGCCCCAGTGGTCGCGCCCGCGTGCCGCCAGCCCCCCCCACTCTGGCGCAGGCCTCCCGCGCTTCGTGGCCCCGCGGAGCGGCGGGCTCCACCTAAGACCCCAGTGGCTGTGCCCGCATGCCCTCCCCCCCCCACACTGTCGCCATCCCCACACGTTTCGTGGCCCCACAGGGAGCTCCATCCAGGGCCCCAGTGGCTGCGTTCGCATGTCTTCTCCAGACCAATCGAAGGCTCCTGTAAAAGGAATCGCATGCGTGACCGCCCTCATTTCGGCCCCCCCCCCATCACGCGTGGCCCCATAGGGAACTCCATCTATGGCCCCATTGACAGGAATCGCATGCGTGACCGTGCCCATTTCGGCACACCCCTCGCACGCTTCGTGGACCCATAGAGCGCTCCTCCGAAGGCCCCAGTGGCAGGAATCGCATGCGTGACCGCGCCTATTTCGACACACCCCTCGCACGTTTCGCGGCCCCCTGGGGAGCTCCCCCGAATGCCCCATCGGCAGGAATCGCGTGCGAAACCGCGAAACAGCTTGGCACACGCCAAAGGGCCCACCGTCTGCTACCCCTAAACACCGCACCCTGCTGCTCCCTGTGGCGGCATGCGGGCGCAACCACTGGGGCCTGAGGTGGAGCTCCCTATGGGGCCAGGGCCACGAAACGTGTGAGGGGTGTGCCACAGTGGGGCGGTGGCGGCAGGCGGGCGCAAGCACTGGGGCCTTAGGTGGAGCTCTCTATGGGGCACGAAGCGTGTGAGGGGTGTGCCACGGTGGGGTGGTGGCGGCATGCGGGCGAAACCACTGGGGCCTGAGGTGGAGCTCCTTTTGGGGTCTACGAAACGTGTGATGGGGTGTGCCACAGTGGGGCGGTGGAGGCATGCGGGCGAAACCACTGGGGCCTACGAAACGTGTGAGGGGTGTGCCACAGTGGGGCGGTGGCGGCAGGCGGGCGAAACCACTGGGGCCTTAGGTGGAGCTCTCTATTGGGACACGAAGTGAGCGCTGCGCCAAAGTGGGGTGGTGGGAGAGAGAAGAGGGAGAACGGGAGGATGAGGGCGATGAGCAGGGAGAGAAGGACATCGCCCGGCGCTGCTAATCCAAACCAAGAACCCAACACAGAATGGTTGGGGAAACAGGCGCAACAACACCAGGGGCCGGAGAAACAATACCGAAAACATCATCAGGAAAAGCCCGTGGCGGGACGGGAGGGGCAGCAGGTGGACGACAAGCACCGGCTGGACCACGATCGTGATGAGGAGGATCAGGACGGCGATGGTGCAGCGCTGGCGACGATGCTGATGATGATGATGCTGCTGATGATGATGATGATGCTGATGATGATGATGATGCTGATGATGATGATGATGATGATGCTGCTGCTGCTGATGATGATGATGATGATGATGATGGTGCTCCCGAGGAGGGGGGAGAGCGAACGACACTCCTGCCCGCCGCCCCCTTCGGGCGCACGCTGGCATGGACTGCGGATCCGTGGATCATGTCCGGCGCGCGGGCGCCGGATCCGCGAGTCGGGGAAGCTGCCCCCCGAACCACGAGACCAGCGCCGCTCGACTTCGCGGCGGAGGGCGCGGGCGTTCGAGCCCAGAGGTGGGACCCGTCGCTGCTCTAATGTGCCCGGGTCCATGTCTGCGTCTCCTCGAGGGAGGGGGAGTGCTGGGGGTGGAGGAGGGGGGGGGCTGGCTCAGAGGGGGAAGGTCGGCCTGGCATGGCCGATACGTCGCCGACCTGCAGGCCCCCGACAGCGAGTCCACGCGCCCCTGGGGGCGGAGTGGGCTATCGCATGCCCCCGTCGGCGATGGTCCGCCGAGGATGATGATGATGATGATGATGATGATGATGATGATGATGATGATGATGATGCTGATGATGATGATGCTGATGATGATGATGCTGATGATGATGATGCTGATGATGATGATGCTGCTGCTGATGATGCTGATGATGATGATAATGATGCTGCTGCTGCTGATGATGATGATGATGATGGTGCTCCCGAGGAGGGGGGAGAGCGAACGACACTCCTGCCCGCCGCCCCCTTCGGGCGCACGCGGGCGTGGACTGCGGGTCCGTGGATCATGTCCGGCGCGGGGGGCGCCACGATCCACGAGCCGGGGGAGCTGCCCCCCGAACCACGAGACCAGCGCCGCTCGACTTCGCGACGGAGCACGCGGACGTGCGAGCCCGGAGGTGGGACCCGTCGCTGCTCTACGTGCCCGGGTCCATGTTCGCGCCTCCTCGGCGGAGGGGGAGTGCTGGGGGTGGAGGGGGGGGGGGGCTGGCTCAGAGGGGGAACGTCGGCCTGGCATGGCCGACACGTCGCCGACCTGCAGGCCCCCGACAGCGAGTCCACGCGCCCCTGGGCGGAGTGGGCTATCTCATGCCCCCGTCGGCGATGGTTGGGCGACTGCGGGGCGATGCCCCCCCCCCCCCTGGAGCCCATCTCCCCCTGACGCTGCCCCTGAGACTGCGGACGCTGACGATGACGATGATGGTGAATCTGATGATGATGCTGCTGCTGCTGCTGGTGATGATGGCGATGATGATGATGATGATGATGATGATGATGATGATGATGATGATGATGATGATGATGATGATGATGATGATGATGATGATTGTGATCATGATGATGATGATGCTGATGATGCTGATGATGATGATGATAATGCTGATGATATTTATGCTGGTGATGATGGTGATGCTGCTGCTGATGCTGCTGATGATGATGGTCATGGCACGGATGCTGATGCTGATGCTGATGCTGATGATGCTGACGATGATGAGGATGATGATGACGATGCTGATGACGACGATGATGCTGATGATGATGAGTATGCTAATGACTATGATGATGCCGATGGTGATTATGCTGTTGATAGGGATGATGATGCTGATGATGATGACGAAGACGACCATGATGCTGATGCTGCTACTGATGATGATGATGATGCTGCTGATGATGGTGATGCTGATTACGATGATGATGGGGGTGATGATGTTGATGATGACGTTGTTGATGATGATGATGATGATGATGATGATTATGATGATGATGATAATGATGATGATGATGATGATGATGATGATGATGATGATGATGATGATGATGATACTGATGTTGGTGATGCGGATGATGATTATGGTGAGAGCTGTATGTCAAGGATGCTGGTGGTGATGATAAGGACGAGGCGGAGTGGGAGGAGGAGGCTCAGCATGAGTAAGAGACGGGGAGAAGGAGCAGGTCGAGGATGGGGATGTAATGGAGAAGGGAAGGGTTGGCGGGATGGGGAGGGTGAGGGTGCGGGGGAGGCAGAGAGTGGGCAGAGCGGGGTGAGGAAGGGGCTTGTGATGCTGCTTCGGATGGTGCTGCCAACTTGGCGGATGGTGCTGCTAATAATGATGCTGCTGCTGATGATGACGATGATGCTGCTGATGCTGGTGATGATGACGATGATGATGCAGATGCTGATGCTGATGATGATGATGATGCTGATGATGATGCTGATGCTGATGATGATGATGATGATGATGATGATGATGATGATGATGATGCTCATTATGATGATGCATTATCGAGCCACACGAGTCCGTGACAGGGAGCAGCGCGCGGGGAGCGGCCTCCTCCGCCTGGAGCCCCGCGCGTGCCAGCGCCTGCGACGCCTCGCGCGGGGGGCTGCGGCCCCGTCCTGCTGCCGCCGCTGCTCCTGCCGATGTTCCCCTGGGCTCATCAGCCTCGCACCCCCCTCCCCATCCCCCTCCTCGCGGTGCTGGCATGTCTTACCGTGCGAAGGCGAGAGCGACGTCATGATAAGGCTAGCTCAGGATACGTTCCAAGATCTCCAGAGCGTCTAGCGGCGCCGCCAGTGCGGAACATTTGGGAACATGGGAAATCCTCGAAGCCCGGAAGCCTTGGAATATGATACTCACACTTCCGGAAGCCTTGGGATATGATACTGGCACTTCCCTATCTAGCGGCCTCCTCTCGCCCCTGAGCGGGCCTTCCGTCCTAAACATCATCAGCAACACGCCATCAACGCGCTCCCTTTCAACATGGACGCTTGTCGCCGACGTTGCAAACCGGGGGACAGGGGAGAAACGAGGCGCACAATGCTCGCGAAATGGCGGGATGTTGCTCTCGTTTCAGCGCCGCGCATATTCCCTCATAGCGTCTGGCTAGAGGATGAGAAAAGACCGCTGAAGACGCCCACGCGGGGGGGGGGGGGGCGGGGAACCCGAAACCGCCCCCGAGAACCCTTTGGCCTGGCAGGCGTTCCGCCAGAGATTGCCTCAGACTTCATTCAAAGAATCGTGCTCTCGCCAGAATGCCGGCTACGTTGTTGGGGCCCAGACAGCCGCGACCCCGCGTACAGACAACGAGGGTGCACATGGCCGTGCCCTCACCCTTTGTCCCGGCTGCGCGTCTCCTGGGAAGCCCTCAAGAGTACCTCGGACTGAACGCTGCACAAGCCGACCTCTTGCGCCTCGACTCGCCTTTTCACTTCTGCTTTCCTTAAACCGGGGATGGACAGACCCCCCTTTAGTAAAACGTGGTTTAGTGAAAACGACCTGAGGCCAAAACCTGGCGGGCGCAAGCCTGGAAAGTAACGGCCACGGCGCCCTCTCGAGAACCGAAAACGGACAATTCACTCATCGACGCGGCACTGTTGGGGGTTCTGTCCACCCCCGACTAAAGGTGCTTAGCTGGGATATTTGGTTCCTGTAAGTTGCGCTGCCGCTTGGGACGCCCAGTCGCCCGCCCAGTCGCTGAAGCGGGACCGCGCCCCAGAGTGCCACCTGCCGCTCCCCTCCCCAAGCGCTGCGCACACGTTCGCCTGGAAGGCGTGCTCCCGCCTGGCCCCTGCGCGTGCCTTGGCCTCCGCGAGTGCCACCGCGCACCTGCCTCAAGGCTGAACAAAATGCTCCTAGACACCCTGCCATCGCTCGAGCGTCCGCTCCCCGTGCACTGCTTTGGTTCCGCGCGCGAGTTGTTTCTCGGCTCCTGCAGCCCCCTGCCTCTAAAACAGGGCTAGGATCGGGATGAATCGCTCCAGAGCGTTCCGGAGCGCTCTCAGAGCGTCCCGGAACGCTCTGGAGCGGCCGCGGCGCCCAATACATCCTCCCAACCCGCCGATTCTCAGAGATTTCGACTTACACCCTGCGAAATGCTTAAGAAATCATGGGTTAAGAATTTCATAGTCTCAGAATTTGAATAAAAACCTAAAATTTCTATTTATTCTTGGGATTTACATTGAAACGTTAAGAATAATCGAGACTCTGGCCGAAAACTTAGGTTTTCTTAAGCATCGCCTTAGGTGTATCCCGATCCGATTTTGTCCCGATCCTCGCGTCGCTTCAGCCTCAGACCCTGGGTGTGGCCGCGACGCCGCCCCGCGCCCGCCGCCAGGGGTGCAGCACCGGCTGGCCGCCCCGGCCGCTCCGCAGAGGGCCCCCGCCGCGTGAGCGCCCTCCCTCCCTCGCCTCCGCCCCGCGGCCGCCCCCCTTCCCTGAAGGGGCCCCAGGACACACAAATAAATACACACAAATAAAAATAGTCCCCATATTTTCCCATATTTTCTGGGTTTCTGTCTTTCCCCCGACTTCCTAGATGTTCCCATATTTTCTGGGCAATCGAGGATTAATTGTGTCTGTGTGTTTTTTCCCCTCCTGATTCCCACCCTCTGAACCCGCTCTTGCCGCCGGACAAAGTAGCGCCTGCCGTCGCCCGGCCCGCCCGAACGCGCGTGCGGACTGCCTCTGCCGCGCTGCGAAGTAAAACGTCTCTCTCCAGATGATCCAGGATGCTCCGAAATGATCCAGGTGGTCTTGATAAGCAGTACAACCCTTTGGGAGGGGACCTAGGTCAGGAGGGCCTCGCACATTGGGGATACGGGGTCTTCTCTGCAGATGTATCAGACCAAACCACCCAGAGTCATCATCCCTAATGCGAAGACGGGGACTTAAATGAAGCCACGTGTGAAAGTCTCCTAAATGGGGTCGGAATAGATGGGGTCGGAAGATCGCGCCGCATCGCCAATACATCGGCGATGCATCGGCGATGCATCGGTGATGCACCGGCGATGCATTGTCGACGTCGGCGATACATCGGCGACGTCGACGTGAAGCAAATCGGGCCCCTCATCGAGCCGCGTCGGCGATTCATCGGCGATGCGGCGCGATCCTCCGACCCCATTTACTCCGACCCCATCTAGGAAGCCTAGAACGTCGTCGTCGTTCTGCTGTTCTCGATGTTTTCTGCACCGAGTGCAATCGGCAATCTGGCGCAGGGCCCCCTTCTCCCAGCCGCCCGCCGCCGCCCAGGGGCGCACGACCACCGCCACCGCGCGCGTGCGCACGCCCGCACGGGCGCTTGCGTACCGACTGCGCGCCCGCGCGCCGCCAACGCACCCGCGCGGCGCCCACACGCGCACGCCGCCCGTGCGCTGCTATCCGGGCTTGTCCTCTACACGCAAGAGTGACCCTGGGTAAGAGTGACCTTTGGTGCGCGGCTTTTTGAGGGCCGCGTGGGGACCAAACCTGAGCGCGCAAGCCGTTGCTCCTGCTTCGCTTTCAGCCATCTGGGGACCCATCTGTGCCCGCAGCAAAGGTCACTCTGGCGAAAGGTCACTCTTACGTCTAGTCGAGCTTGGGACTCCACTAGAAGGGGCCCGGGGAGACAATCACAAACAGACACACGCACATCCCCGGTCTCCCCATGTATCCCCAGATCCTTTCTGGAGTTTCGTCGTCCCCCTCCACTTCTCATGTGTTCCCAGATGTTCCTGGGAATCGACGTTTACTTGTCTTTTTTCCCCCCTGCTGGGTCCCACGATCGAAAGAGGTACGGAAAAAAAATGGGTACAACAACCGGCAACATCTCCTGGTCATTGTGAGCCGGACCCGCTGTCGGTGTCGCAGCGGACGGTGCCCGTTTGAGACAGCAACTTGCCTGCCCGACGGCGGCCGCTGTCGGTTTTTGACAGCATATGTTGCTGTGTCTCATATAATTTGTTCCGTACCCGTTTCGCGTGTGCCGTGCAAGGCATTTTGTGGATGTCCGCTCCCGCCATTGCATGGCCAATAGTCTAGGTTCCGCCAAACGGTCAGAAGTGGGGCCGCGCACGCGAGTGCCTTTCGCTGGGCATGGTGGCAAAGCGCGCGAATCTCGATATCCAATTCTGCGAGCCTTATTGGTATGGCCTGGGACCCGTTGGCTCGATCGAGCTGGCTGGCTCGACTCACGTTCCCCCCTCTTTCCCCCCCCACCCTCACCCTGACCGCGAAGGGTCCCTGGGCAATCATGGGAAACTAATTTATTCTTCCGTGGTGGCCACCGCGAAGGCCTCCGCTAGAGTCGTCGCCGCCGCCGTCGCCGTCATCGCTGTTGGACTTGCGGGGCCTGTGGGACCTGCGAGACCCGTGGGACTTGTGGAACCTGTGGGACCTGCGGAACGTGTGGGACTAATGGAACATGTGGAACGTGTGGGAACGTGCAGGGGGACAGAAGACAAACAAGCAGGAAGGCGAGAGAGGAGGGGTGAGGAGGAAGAAGAGGAGGTGGAGAAGGAGGATGAGGAGGAGGCCGTCCAACGGAAAGCAGGCGGGAACGTGGGTGCGTGGCAGCTTTCGGTGCAGCTTGGAGACGGGGATGCGTGAAAGAACTGCTCTACCTACCCCTCTTCTGCCGCCTCCTCTTCCTCCGTTGTGATCCTCTCCGTCCCTACCCTCCCATCCATCTCGCTCTCTCTCTCTCTCTCTCTGCTTGCTCGTCTGTCCACTCCCTCCCCCTCCCCATCCCTCCTCGCCTCCTCGTCCTCCTCCCCAATCCTGCTCCGCATCTTCCTCCGCAGTCGCCTCGTCCTCCTCGATGTATCCTCTTCTCAACCTCTTCCTCCTACCAGGGAGGCGAGGGATGATGCGAGATGGGGGAGGGGAACGAGTTCTACCAGCGGTAGGATTGCAGGGGAGGCGAAATCGCGCGGGAGGGGAAGGCCTGGGAAAGGGAAGGCGGGGTGGGGCGGTGAACTGGCGCCCCGAACTCTTCTGATGCCGACCCCGAGGGCAACATCTCGCAACCGAGGTCCGCGCACCGGACCGCGGGAGGCGTCGACGGAGCGCACATTCTAGAGCAGGGACCGACCGTCCAGGCATTCCTATAATCCTACCACAAAATGCTCTTAGAACACAAAACAATTCTTTTAACAAAAGCAATGTTCTTAGAACGTAAACCCGATGTGATAAAACAAGACAGACTCCGCCAGAAATGTTCTAAGAACGTTTCGTGGAAACCACCAAAAGGTTCTTAGAACATTGTTTGGTGGGGCTATAGGTGAGCCAGGACGCTTCGCCACTGCTTGACAGTCCGCCGTTCGCAGCACACTCAAGATATCAACTGGTGGCCTCTGCACCTCGAGCACACGTCTCACAACCTGGCCGCCCTCCTGTTGGAGGGACAGCCTGGACTGGTCATTCGTGCTGTCAGGCTGGGAGGCGACCGCACCCAGTGCCACCCGCGCACAAAAAGTTAGATCTTAAAACGGGCAATCTGTCTGATCCCCGCCGCCCAAACGCCTGCCCGATGGGGAGGTGGAGGGGGATGGGGTGTGAGAGGGAGGCAGAGGAGGAAAAATAAAAGCCCTTGAGGAGGAGGTGCAGGAGGAGGCGGAGGCAATGAGGGGGTAGAGGCGGAAGCGGGGGTGCATGCGGCGAAGAAGGAAAAGACGGGGGAGAAGGGGGGAGAAATTGAAGGGTGGCGATGTGTTGGACGAAACGGCACTTCAGATTTCACCCTTTGCCCTCCACCCAAAGAAAATGCTCGGACACGTGGGGCCAATGGCAACAAAGGAGCGCGCTATCTGTATCTCCGGACGCCTCTCTTTAACCCCCCCCTAAGATCGCCCCACGGCGGCCCGCGAGGCCTCCTAAACGTCCGCACGGCGTCCCAAGACGGCCCCCAAACGGCCCAAGGAAACGTTGAAAACGGCCCCAACATAGGTCCCCAAGGTCGCCCCCAACGGGCCCAATATCGCCCCAAGGGGGGCCCAAAGACGGCCCACGAGGCCGCTTCAAACGGCCCTGTCGACCTCCAAGCCGACCCTACAGCGCTCAAGAACGGGACGGCCGCCCAGAGAAGGCCCCAAGAAGGCCTCCGAAAGCCAAGGGGTACATCTCGGCCGCCCAGAGGCCCCAAGAAAGCTCAGGAGGCCCCCAAGCGGCCCCAGGAGGCTCCCATAAGGCTCTCCAAAGGCCCCCGAGAAAAGTCCGATCGGCAACACAGGAGTGTTTACATGTGGGGCACTGGCGGCCAGCTGGGCATCGTTAGACGCTCTTCAGAAACAGCACCGTCGTTGGCAACCGACGGTGGCCACATCACTCACCACGTCGTCGGCCCAGGAGCATCAGGGTGGGATAGCTAAAAATCGCACGAACGATGAGTATGAGCGGGTATGTGTGTGTGTGTGTGAGGTGAGGGAGTGGGTGAAGGCAGTGGAAGAGGAATGCTGAAGACGACGAACACATAATCAGGAGGAAGAGAAGCTTATTACTGATGACGTTGACGAGGAGAAAGAGGAGGCAGAGGAGGTGCAACCTGACGCGCACAAGGCTGTGCCTAAACCTATCGCGGCTACTCGAGGTCCTTGAGCATCTGTTCCGCAAAACTGACCTTCGGATCTCGCAAGGCAGGCACGGATGCGGCATGGAGGGTAGGGGGAGAACGGGAGGAAGGAGACGGCGAGAGGGCTCTTGTGTAAAGCCTGTCTTCAGTGAGCGAATTCAGCTCCCCACGTGCACGGATCAACAATGTGCTGCCTTCCCTTGCGCCCCGCGGAAGTGGCGGCACACGCGTGCAAGCGCCACCAAATCCAAACGCGAGGACGAGCTCATACTTTGCGAGGCCCCCGCGACCTCGGGCCGCTTGTCCCCAGAGGGGTCGTCCTCGGACTTCGCCAGGTTGATCTTCTTGAGCCGCTGGCCCCCCGCTGTGGGGGGCTCCAGGGGCCTCTCCCTGCCCTCCTCACCAGCCCAACGGCGTGGAGGGCCTCAAACCTTTCTATCGGGGGGACGTGAGACTCGGGTTAGTGGGACTCGGGTTTGCCCAACATGACGAGACCCACTCTGAAACTTGCCGCCCGCTCCCGGTGCAGACATCCCACGAGAACTGGGCCGTCAGAAGCCAGAACGGGCCCGTCAAGAAGCAATGGCACATCCGACTTCTGGCGAACCCGAATCTCACGTTTCCCCGACTCTGCGTTCGGGAACTAAGCCGGGTGGTGGCTCCACTGGTGGATTCTCGTAAGGTCCAGTGCGCCACCCACCTGGCCCGTGTCCCGATCGAGCACGCACCTCGCGAGGACGCGCGTCGCAGCATCAACTCCCTCCGGCTATCAGTCCTTCTTTTTCCCCCTGTCCGTCCAGGAGGGGCGGGGAGGATATGTTCTGCTTGTTTTGGGACAGCAAGCGGCCACACTCACATCGAGAACACATCCTGAAGGATGCCCTGCGCATGTCAACAATCGTCAGAACACCGAAGCTAGCTTAGTGCTGGTTGTGGTCGATGCGGCACTCCCAGACGGCAACATCGACCACAACCACAACCAAAGCGTTCGTGCTGGGGTGGGTGGGTTCTTCCCCGAGGAGCCATCCCGAAACATCGACTTCGCTGTGGTTGTGGCTCTTTGCTGTGCCCAGAGCTTGGCCAGCGAAGCGCGAAACAAGGAACTCGCCGCAGCCCTGTGCATAGAGAGCCGAACACACATCCTCATAATAAGCACCCCGACAAGCAAAGCTGTTTATGAAGGGGCCCCAGGACACACACATAAATACAAACAAATAAAACGATGCCCCGTATTTTCCAATATTTTCTGGGTGTTGGTCTTCCCGCCCAATTCCCGTATTTTCCCATATCTTCCTGGGGGTCGACGATCAGTTAATTGTGTCTGTGTGGTTTTTCCCCTCCTGAGTTTGGTAAACGCGCCCACGCAAGGGATCGAGCAGGGTACTCCAGATTTCGTAATAAAAGGGAGGGGGTCTGGACCCTCCAAGACAAGCCATTTCGGACCTCCCCCCTGGGAGAACCCTCCAGAACATCGTCCCCCGACCCTCCAGGCCCTCCAAGATGGCCTGGAAGAGACCCCCCCCCGAAATGTGACCCCCCCTCCCTTTGTTACGAAATCTGGAGTACACCCTACGAAATGCTTAAGAAATCATGGGTTAAGAAATTCATAGTCTCAGAACTTGAATAAAAACCCAACATTTCCATTCAAATCTTAAGATTTGCATTGAAACGTTAAGAATAATCGAGATTCTGGCCGAACACTTGAGTTTTCTTAAGTATCGCCCATGGTGTAGGGCTGCTCAGACAAATCCCGAGGCCATCTGGTACAGACCGGGCTCGGCAGCCCGAGGGGTCGCGGGCAGCAGGCCCCCCGGTCGGGAGGGCCAGAGCCTCCTGGGCCCCCGCGGGGGGAGGGGGAGTAGGGGGAGTAGGGGGAGGAGGGGGAGGAGGAGGAGGGAGGAGGAGGAGAGGAGGGGGGAGAGGAGGAGGAGGAGGAGGAGGAGGAGGAGGAGGAGGAGAGGAGAGGAGGAGGAGGAGGAGGAGGAGGAGGAGGGAGGGGGAGGAGGGAGGAGGAGGAGGAGGAGGAGGAGGGGGAGTAGGAGGAGGAGGAGTAGGAGTAGGAGTAGGAGTAGGAGTAGGAGTAGGAGTAGGAGTAGTAGTAGTAGTAGTAGTAGAGGAGGAGGAGGAGGAGGAGGAGGAGGAGGAGGAGGAGGAGGAGGAGGAGGCCCTCTCAGAAGGCGGCGGGGCAGAAGCCCTCGCGCTGTCTGAGCAGCTGTTTTTGGCGCCTTCGGGGGAGGCTCGGCACCCTTCCCTTCTCAGACGGCCGCGGGGGGCGTCCGAGCCCTCCGAGAAGCGCATCTCCTCCTCACTTCCCGCCCGGGCACGCCACGGAGAGGAGAGGGGATGGAGGACTGGAGGGAGAGAGGGGATGGAGGAGGGAGGACTGGAGGGAGGGAGGCCCAGTCATGGCCGCGCCGCTGCAAAAACCGCAAGGCGGTGTGTATCTTTGCGGCGGCTCTCGGCCCTTTTGGGGCCCTCGCCGGGCCGCGGGCCCGTCCAAGAGGTCGGCCCTCGGGGTGGAAGGCCAGTGGAGGGGAGAAGGCCGGGACGCCAAGGGTGAATGGGGCCCTGGGACCCACAAATACGCACACACAAATGTCACGATCCCCCATATTGACTACCTACCAGACCTCCCCAACCCAACCCGAAGGCCCGAATATCGGGTTGGGGGGGGTACGAGTTCCATACGTGTTTTTTCGATGTCCCGCGACCCCCCCCCCACTGGAAATGGAGGGCAAATCTGAGCCTTCGGGTTGGGTCGGGGTGGTTTGGTGGGTGGTGACATATTCTCCCATATTTTCAGGGGGTTTGTCTTCCCCCACACTTCCCATATTTTCCAATATTCTCCTGGGGGTCAACGATGACTTTCTCTGTGTGTTTTTCCCCCTCCTGAAAGGGGGGGCCGGACAGACACACAAAATATCAAAACACCGCGTGTCCCGGGGGGCGGGGCGAGAAGACAAACGGAGAGAGACAGGGGTCGACCCAAACGGTGTTTTGTCGATTTCGTAAGCCTTGTGCGCCCAGCCCCACCAGCCTCGTGTGCATCTGTAAGATGGTAGAAACGGAGGTCCGATGCAAGTGGCAAAGGACCTCCTGCCCCACACGATCCCGCCGCTTCCCTTCCGAAGGGGAAAGTTAGGGGGGCCGGATCAGAGGGAGACGACGAGCCGGATTCGGCGATACATCGTGGAGAGATCGGCGCTCGGCACCCGATGGCGAATCCGCACGCTTCTGGGCGGGGTGGGCCATCGGGCCCAGATCGGCGAAGACTGGACGATAGGGGATCCATGCGCCCCCCCAACCCCCCACCCCGAGCCCGTCCACCCCTGGCAGTCGACCCCGGGTTCCCGGGCCATCCCTCGGCTCCCCGGCGGCGGCTGCTCCTCGGGGCGATCCGGGCACACGGAACGACCTCGGCGAGGCGCAGCCGCTGGAAGGCATCCCGGGGCGGGAAAAGCCCACGAGAACCGACGCACGCGCCCGGGAGGAGGAGGAGGAGGAGGAGGAGGAGGAGGAGGAGGAGGAGGAGGAGGAGAGAACCTGGCACCTCCCCCCTCCCCTGAGCAGATTCCGCCCCCTGACGTTGATCCTGCTCCCCCTCCGCTCCTCGGCAGTCCTGCGGGACGCCCGGCCAATAGGGGGCCACATGTGAACCCTACCCCTACCCCCCACGACTTCTGAGGGGGAGGGTGGGGTTCACTTCGTTTGGGAGCCCCCGAGCGAAGGGAACCCCGCCCTCCCCCTCAGAAGTCGTGGGGGGTAGGGGCAGGGTTCACATGTGGCCCCCTAGCCAAGGAGCGGGCGGCGAGCCCCTCGGGGGGGACGCCGTGCAGGAAGGGCGCGGGCCTGCTCGGACGGCGGCGGGGCCTCTCCGGAGGCCCCGCGCCCTCTCCGAGAAGCTCCCGGCCCTCTCCGAGGACAGGGACGCCTCTCAGGAGGCCGGCGGGCCTCCGCCCCTGACCTTCCGGAGAGCTATGTTTTAGCACCGGAGGCCTAAAAACCAAACAAAAAAAAACGGAGCGACACAGCCTAACACCAAGACGCAGAATAGCTTTGGGATAGGTTTTTGAGTCGCGTGCTATTCTTTCGCCCTCTTGGAAAGGCAGGGGCCTTCCCCGCCGCCTCCCGAGAGGGCCCCCGCCCCCTCTCGCTCGCTTAACCGCCCTGGGCGCGCCGACCGGAGGAGGGGGGACGAGGCTGCGGGAGGCACCCCGCCCCCGGGAGCCGGCCCGAGACCAGGGCGGAACCCAAGCGGTGTCCCTCGTTTTCGCTCTGTGATTCGTTCTTCCTCCTTCTGTTGAAGGCGCCCTGGGACACACAAATAAATACACACAAATAAAAATATTCCCCATATTTTCCTATATTTTCTGGGTTTCTGTCTTCCCCCTCACTTCCCATATTTTCCCATATTTTCTGGGGAATCGAGGATTAATTGTGTCTGTGTGTTTTTTCCTCTCCTGATCTGTCCTCGCTTCGCCTTGAAGGCGAAACAGAACGAAGAACAGCACGGCCCGCGAGATGGCCACAAAACACCGGTCAGGCCCAGCCCTGCCCCAGACTAGCTCACCGAAGCCGGTGCTCATCCCGTCCATCGTGCCCTCCGCGGCCTTGGCTCGGCGGCGACGACAGGGGCGAACAGCCCATGGGGCGGGCATTTCACGCATTCGCCGGGGGAGCTTCGCCGAAGGCGCGGACCATCGGAGCCCCTGGATGCATGTATTGTCCTCCACTGGGCTACAGTCGGACCTGGGGCAGAAGAACATCCGATGGTGACCTCCCCCAGGATGCACAAGAACAGCCAACAAACACGAAAAACACTAGGGTACCCTCCCCAAACCGACCTCGATCCCACTGTACATGTATTGCCCTCCCCTGGGCCATTCGCCCCTATCGTCGCCTCGAATTGGCGCGCGCCTCCTCCGCCCCCTCTCACTTCCCCCCTGGGCTCGCCGCTGTTTGGGGGTACCTGGCGGAGAGCCCTCTGGCGTCTCGGCTGACCCCGTCGTCGATGAGCATCGAAAACCGGTTGCACCTCGAGCGAGGGTTGGTTGGATGTGCGTCATTGGGGGGGGGGAACAGGTGGGAGAAAGAAGCGTGCACCTTTCGTGCCGTTCGTGCCCCTGTCAGGCCTCAAGGGGCCGTGTTTAGGTCCCAGACGGTGCGCAAGAATTGCGCTTTCCTTCACCCCCCGACCTCTTTTCACCCGCACCCATCCATCGTCGCCCACGGCGCAACGCCCTGGGTGGCCAGTTCTGCTTATCCAGCCAGGCCCGGGGGAGAGTTCCATGGCACATGGTGAGGACCTCCCATGCAAGATTGCTGGCTCTTTCGAACCGACGCTGACTGACTCTAGCCGACGCTAAGCAACGCTCTTCGACGCTGATTCGACTCTACATCTAGTCTAGTTGACGCTGGTGCACTCAGATGATACTACGAATGCGCACAAAGCTTCCACGACTTGCTACCGAAGGAGACACTGTCACAGGATGAGCAGGCCCAGTGCACAACAAAGGAGGTGAGGGGAGATAAACTTGTTTATCAGAACGCCTCGCAACGCTCTCCTAGTGACTCGAGAGAGTCGCACCCTAAGCCAAAGTGGCTGGCAAACGTCGAACACGAAGGGAGGGGGAGAGAAGAGGGACAACAGGGGACCCCACAGGACCCTGGCGAGGACAACAGGGCTAGCGAGGAACACCAAACATACAGTGGACATTTAAAACGGAACACGGCATAAACATAAGCTTCCGGAGGTCCGCGCGGACTCATTGGATCTGGGCTGGACCCCCCTCCATAGCGCGCGGAGCGTCACAGGTGCGGCGCGGGCAGCGCCGCCAGGGGGGCCCAGTGCAGCTCCAAGAAATCAGAGCGGGGCCTCGAAACTTCATGCTTGTGTAATTTGCTCTTTTTCGGAAAAGACAGGAAACAATCGAAAAAGGACAGAAGCTGGAAGTGAACGAGGAACAAAGGGAGGAAGGGCGCTGGCGTTTGGCAGGACGTACGCAGGAACGTCCGGACACGCTGAACTTTTGAAGGGAGCAGAGGAACTGTGTTTTCAAACTCGAGCTGCAGCCCAAACTATAGATATGTGTTGCTTTGCACTGAGGTGGTCACCTCCTTCTCCTCCTCGGTTGCAGAATAAAACGAAGCTCCTTCGCAACAGACGAACGCCGATTGTTCGAGGTGTGATTTGGGCGTTGGAAACATTCCCCTTGCCCCACGGAGGGGAGGGGTCGGCCTCAGATGCTCCACGAGACCAGGCCGCCCAGCGCAGCGCTTCGCGGTTAGATCGTGCTTCGCGGTTAGAATACCAAACCGCATGAGCGTAGAGCTCCGTCGCAACAACCGAGCCCCGTGGTTCGGGGCTTGATCTGGGCACTGGAGGGATTTCCCCATGTCGGGGGCGTTCAAGAGGGGGGCGTCCAAGAGGGGACGGCGCAAATCATGGCCCGAGGCATGTGTGCGTCCCAGGAAGGCCCAGGGGACATACTGAAAGACAAAGAGGCGCCATGAAGTCTGGGGAGATATTATGGCCCCCGCCATGAGGTCCCCCCCCGTAGTCATCACCTCCCTGTGGCCGCACCCGCTGATTTGGGCATCGGGAACATATCCCTATGCGCCTTCAGAGCTTAGCGTGCCCGGGCGCTCCTGCGCACGCACTCCCAACCAGCAGCGCCGTTCCTCCGCCTCCTTTTCCAACCCCTCGCATTCCTCCTCGCACTGGTCTTCCGCTTTCACTTCCTCCTCCTGCTCGTCGTCGTCGTCCTCCTCCCCTTTCCCCATCACCTCGTCCTCTTCGTCACTAAATTCACCCGTGCCCTGCTCCTCGTCCTCCCCCTCCCTCTCTTCTGTGCCTTCCGTCTTCCTTCTCTATCTTCCTTCCTGGCGCGGGCCTGCGCGGGTAACTTCTGTTCCCCCTTGGCTGCCAGAACAGTCCTCCACCTCGGCTCCGTGCTCCCTCCTCCCCTCTCCCTAGCTTGCGCCTCTGCTCAGGTCCAGGGGTGCAGGGCTCGAGCAGGCCCCCCTTTTGGCCGCCTTGCGCTCGTGCCTCGCCTGGCCCGCCTCAAGCAAGAGGCAGTCACCGATATCCGCGCGGAGTGATGGCGTTCCTGTGCCGCCTTGCGGAGTGCGGCCCCAACGACGTCGCGAAGCGCCTGCCGCCGCGCCAGAGCTCGCGCAACCCATGCGTGTAAGCTGCAGGAGGCTAACGGTTGATTGGCGAGCCTCCTTGCAGCAAGCCCCCCGCGAGTCGCAGCTGCCCATCGCGTCAGGCGTGCTGTACCACGAACTCGAGGAGAACTTCTGGACGCCCACTGCCATGCTGGTCTCCGAGGCGGAGACCGACAAGCTGGTCACCCACGGCGGCGGCCGCGGCGTCACGAACGAGCTGCTGCGGATCCTTGCGAAAAGAAACGCGTGAAGGACCGTGCCTGGTGTCAGCGACTTCTCGGACGCCGAGCACATCGAGAAGGCTGTGGGGGAGAAGCTGCACGACGGCTTCGACATCCAGGCTGTGGTTCAAGAACTGTGTGGGCCCCGGAAACGGCAGGGCCGTTTTTTTACCGTTTCCAAAAAATGTCCCTTGAAAATGGAAACGGCAACAGAAACGGCGACTGGAAACGGCAAAAAAACGGCTCCAGGATTGGAACCGGAGCCGGAACCGGTCAACAAACGGCGACGGAACCGGTAAAAAACGGCGTCGGAACTGGCAAAGAAACGGCAAAACGGCACCGGTAAAAAAGCGGCCCTGTCGTTTCCAGGGCCCACTAAGGTTCAAGAGCATTCCCATGGCACGGAGCCATTCGACGAGGAAGGCGACAGCGGCGCCGGCACCGCGGAGTCCACGGACGAGCAGGCGGTGCAGCTCGCCGCGGAGCGGGCTGCGGCGCCGCCCAACCAGGAGGCGATCGACGGGCGAAAACTGGCTGTCTGGGAGGCCTGGAGATGGGCACCAGCACCAAGACAGGGGGCTGCCTCCACAGGGGGGAGATGATCCTAGATTCCGGTGTTGGTGGTAATCTTTTGGCCACCTTGGAAGCCAGAATATTACCACCATCGCCGAGATCGGGATCTTCGTCCCTCGGTGAAGGAACACCGCCGATATTGGTGTTGGTGTCAACCTCTATGCCTGCGACTGTCCTTCGGCAATCAGAGCGCGACGTCAGAAATGATATCTCCTGTTCTATCTCATTGTGGTCTGTGACCCTGCGACCCACCCACCCCCCAAACGGGACCCCTCCGGATCCTTGGCCCCCGGGGCACCCTGGACGCCCTTGCAGGCGGTTCCCCTGTGCTTTCCGGGGCTCCTGGAGCCCTTGCGGGGCCTCGGCAACGGGCCCAAATCGGTCAGGATGGCGGTCGGGCGGTCCCGCGAGAGCCCACAGAGGCCCCGGACAACCACCAGACGCCCGAGGACGACCTAAAGAAGATCTCCAAGAGGTAGTTCCAACGGACAAAAACATGCATTCCCGATGGTTTCTGAATGATTTTGGGAATGCTCAGTTCTTCGGCCTTCTGGGCGTCCGAGACCGCCCAAGAGGCCAGAGAATCGCCCAAAACTTAACCAAGAGAGCTTCCAGGCAGTCCAGGAGGAGCCCCAAGACGGCCCAACAGGGCCTCAAGACGCCTCCCGAATCATTCCAAATCGTGCCCCGGTCGTTCAGGGATACCGCGGTTGGAAGCAAGCTGGCCTGGGGAAGCCCCCCGAGGCCCCCAGAAGAAACTCGGGAGGCGTCCAGAATGCCCCAACAAGAGAACACCTTCGTGAGGCTTCCAATGAGGCTCTCCTAGGGTGAGCCTCCGCAGAAAGAGCTGGGGGTTGGGGCGAATTCGTCGGGCAGGGCGAGAATGAGGGAGAGGAAGAGGAAGCATGAGGGAAGGATCGTGAATACCATTATTACACCGGCGATACCAGAAGAGACAACAACTAATCATCGTTAAGTTAAATATAAAATTTTACCTTATTGCCCACTTGCCTGCATGCCGAACCGCAAGGACCAGAGTGCATGGCACGAAACGCCAATACAGTATTGTATACACACATATGTATAGTTGTGTATATATATATATATACATATTCATGTCATGGGGAAACGACGGTGACCGACAATACAAAAAAACCTTCATATTGACCGTTACACGCCTGTCCGATTAGAGGTCTTTCCTTTCTGTATGCGTACAGCTTCAGTTACAAGCTGCGGAGGCCGCCAGGAGAGCGGTGGAGGCTACGCCCTTCGCCCAACTCGACTCGAATCCATCTGGACGCGACCCCATACCCAACTTCTCCTCCTACCTCTTCCCTCCCCTCTCTGCCGAGCCCTGAGGGCACCACCCTTCCCTCCTCCCTCAACTGCGCGCTGGTCCTCCCTCCTCCCTCCTCCTCCGCCTCCTCCTCCTCCTCCTCCTCCTCCTCCCTCTCCCTCTCCCTCTCGCCTCCCCTCTCTTTGGCGAGCCCTGGGGGCACCACCCTTCCCTCCTCCCTCGACTGCGCGCTGGCCCTCCCTCCTCCCTCCTCTCTTCTCCCTCCTCCTCCTCCTCCTCCTCCTCCTCCTCCTTGCTTCCTCTCTCTTTGCCGAGCCATGGGGGCACCACCCTTCCCTCCTCCCTCGACTGCGCGTTGG